CACAGTGGGGAGCCGAGACCTCAGGAACCCCCCAGGGGCCATGGAGCAGGGCCTGGACAGAGCAGCCATGGGGAGGGTCTGAGGGCTTCTCAGAGCAGGCCATGGCAGACTGGGCCTGGAAGGACGAGGTGACCTCCAGGAGGTAGTGGCTGGCATCTCGGCAGAGCATGGACAGGTCAGCAGCTGCAGCTTTGGACAATCTCCTGGGCCACCATGGACAGTCTCCTGGGCCTGGGGTCGGGCGGTGGGCGTGCCTGGCCTGGAGGCAAATCACATGACATCCTGGGGCTGGGGAAACAGAAGGAGGAGGCGGGGCACACCCACAGGTGGGACAGCCTCTCCCCGGAGCCCCCAGTCTGTCCCCGCAGTTCTCTCCAAGGGCTTGTGGACTCCTGAGCCGGGATCATCTGAAAGGTGGGTCTGGGCCCTCTCCCAGGCTCAGTGAGGCCCTGGCATGGAGGTCGGTGGGGCCCTGTGGTGTGTTTGTTTATCATCATCTGCTCAGTTTTGGTGTTTTGCTTTGTTACGTTTCCTGACAGAGAGCAGAGGGTGGTCTGGTCTCATACAGACTCAGCAGTGGCTGGACCTGCACCAAGCACCCTGGTCTCCTTCTACTCAGGTGAGTGTGGCCCCAGTAAGCTGGGGTGGGGGCCTCACCCAACTTCTCACCTTCACAACCGGCTCTGAACAAAGGATCCTGGTAACCACATTTTTTTTTAAGTGTTATGTATTTTTGCACACATGAACTGGGGGGATGTCCAGAATTGTGGGGGGTGAGGTGGTTCCCCAGAGACAGAGTGGGGAGCAGAACAGGAAGCACTGAAATCCACTGCTGAGGGGAGCTGCGGGGAGACAGCAGAGGTCTGCTTCACCACCAGGGTCAGCTCTCTGGCCAGGATCTGACTCAGGCCACAGTGGTGACAGTGCTGAGATTTCACCCGAGGCCACCAGGTAGGCCCCACGGTCACCCCATAGAAGCCCAGGAGAGTCCAGAGGCGGTCAGGGCCCAGGTCACACAGGGATGCCACAGAGGCTGTGTCTGCTGCAGCCGTTTCCCTCCCTGTGACCCTGTTAGGGGAAAGGGCATCCTGGAACAACTACTGATATGGGTTTGTGGACTCCACCCCACTCCAGACACCGAAACTATGAATCCTAGTAACACTGAATGGAGTTTGTTGGGGCCTGAAGGCAGAGTTAAGCAGGCATTTTGGGATTTTTTTTTTTAAATATATATAGGTGGACATGTTGAGTTGAGGCTAAGTCTCCCTCCCTTGGCCTGGTGGCTGGTGGCAGATCGCTTGGATCTTGATGAGCTCACAGTGTGCCATTGGGGTTCCAGGCAGCAAAATGGTAGGATGCGTTAGTTACCTTGTATCTCTCTCTCTCTCTCCCTGGGTTGTTCCTCTTCTTTTCCCCTTATAGACAAACCCATTTTTGACCTTTTGTGTGAGTCTGCAGTGCCGGTAAATCTTAAGCTCACAGGTGAGGACCCACAGACAGGCACCCAGTTCATGTTGGGTTGCCCTGCAACAACCCAAAAAAGTAGAGTGAAGGAGGGTGTTCAGAGGGGTTCACCAACCCCATGACTCCCTAGCAAACCAGGTCTCTAATCCCTCAGTCATGAGCAGCACCCAGCTATGGAATGCAACTCCCCATCACTTTATTAATTTTAAAGACAGAACTGGGGTACAGACCCCAGGGACACAGAGGCAGTGCCGGGTGCAAGGAGTCAGAGCTGCATCCTCATGACCCCCAAATGGGCAAACGTGTTTGTGGGTTACAGGAGCAACATGGTCTCCCCAACACGGGGGTGGGTCAGTGAGACTTCGGTTCGGCCCCAGAGGGCACTGCTGTGGTCACCTGGGCTCACCTGCACGCAGGAGCTGCCTGCTGGCTTCCTGCCCCTTGACCCTGCCCAGTGTGGCCGTCAGTGGGGACCTGGGTGTCAGAGACTCTTTGTCCCAAATCATGGATTATTGGGGGGCAGAGCAGGCAGGGTCTCAAGGTGGGAGCGGCGTCAGCAAGCGGAGATTCCTAAAAAAGGGGGAAAAGGAGAGCATGAGGAAGACACAGGAGTCTGTGGTTGGGTGCAAGTCTTCCTGTTCTGCCTTCACAGAGGTTTATTTTACAACTTTAAGCAGCAGTGGGACGACATTAGCATATGAAATGGGCTGAGATCTCGATCACCTTTTTTTAAGAATAGTCCCTGGGTGGTATTGACCTTTAGTTGAGATTATAACATTTAATAAATTAAGGTTAAAACAGGTACAGAGAGTCACAAAGTTTAAGACTAATATTACTATATTTACCACAGTGAAGATTAATCAAAATAAAGTCCCTTAAACCTTATCTATTACTCAATGGCTTTCATTCTCATTGAGACATCTTAGTGTTAGGGTCCGAGAACTCAGTTTCCGCAAAAGACAGAGCATCACACAAGAATGCAAACAGCAAGGCAGAGTTTATTGGGCTGGCTAGCCAGGGTCAAGCCGTTCCCTGTTGGACACGCAGGACCGAGGGTTCGAGCGAGACCCTGAGCATCTCTAACAGGGTCTTTTTATAGTTGTCATTTAGCATTTCCTTGTGGCTCAGGTCCAATCATCCTGGCCCATACCACCTCTGTCTCTCCTAGCTGACTAATCAATTCAAAGGTACATCGCCCCTCTTCCACCTATAGTCCTCAGGGTATGCATTTAGCAAGCTAAGCGTATCTTGTGCCTACATCTATCTTTCTGGTTTGGTTTTGTTTTGTTTTTCCTTACTGATACCCCCAACCCCCTTTGTCCTTATCTTGTTTTCTGGTCTCTGTTCCTGTGCTTGCTTGGGCAAGTCACTTCCTTTGTTTTACTTCAGGCTGAGTTTTACTTCCTCTACGTTGCCCCATTATTCAATAGGAGGTAAAGTAAAGTGAGGCAGGAAGAAGAAATTTTCTTGTAAATCAAATTACAGTAAAGTTCTTTGAAAACTAGTTAGAAAGTTTAAGTGAATTTCCTTGAAGTCGAGACAGTAGAAAACTAAATTAGCTCTGAATAGGAGACGTGGGTGAATTTCCTTATCTAAAGACTAGATAGTAGAATCCCGAAAAATTAGTTAGAAAGCTTAAGTGAAATCTTTTGAAGTTTAGGCAGTAGAAAACCTGATTAGCTCTGAGTAGACAACTCGTGTGAATTTCCTTATCTAAAGACCAGATAGCAGGAAGTTTGAGTGGTTCTTTAGAAACTGAATAGAAGGCCAGGTGGGATAGTAGAGTGCTGAGATTTGGGTTCTCGTCCATCCGGGCAGTAGAAGAGTAAGTTCCAGTGCTGCCTCAAAATTGACGTTGCTGTAACAGCCAATTGCTTTTATCAATCAGCCAGTTGTAAAATCACCTTTGACTTGCAGAGGAATTCCCCGGCCTGGTGCAATGCTTGCTTGTCTGGGCCAGGCAGCGCCTTATGCGGCTGAGGCAATCCACTTGAAAACTGATGGCTGCTCAGAATATTTTGATATTACGATTATACCAAAAAGGGAGGCCAAAACATAGGTTAGCGTGGAAAGTCTGATGTTTCAGAGCATTTCCCCTCCATCCGGGACATGAACTTCTGTCGACAGAAGTTGCATAGCTTGTGTCAGCGGGTGGGGCGGGCTTTGACACAGACACCCCCAGCATTAGCTGTTGGCCATGAGCACAGCTGCTCAAATAACCCCAGAACCTTCTCCCCTGTCTCGGGGTTTGGCGTGACTGCCCTACCACATCGGGTGGCCTCCCTGGAGGCCTCCCACCGGGGGCCCCAGTCCTACCACAACACTGTCACAGCAGCGGTGAGTCGAGAGAGTAGAGACAGCAGCCGGCAGGAGACTCACTAACGGGGTCCGTGGCCTCGCCTTTGGGCCCCAGCGGAAGCGTGGACGCCTGTCTGCTCTTGGCCTCTGTTGTCCCTTGGCTGCTAACATCCTTCCCAAACACACTTTGATTTTTTTTTGTTCTCTGAGGTTGGAGACTCGTCCCACGCCCAGATGCTGCCTGCTAAGTGTCAGGAGGCTGAGACCTGTGGCCCCACCATGGACCCAGGTAGCTGTTTCCCCTTCTAGCGCTTCCACTGGGGAAGCAGGATAGAGGGTGGTGCTGAGGGGGGGTCACCCGCAGGGTGTCAGGGGCCAGAGGACCCTGATGAGCAAGCTGGAGCCCAAGAGGGGCCGGTGAGGTCACCCACCCTGAGTGCAAGTGCATCCCCACCCCACCCATCCTCTCTCAGGGTTCCTTAGCCAGGGCCCAGTCCTCGCTGTCCTCTCCAGGCTTGATGACCCAAATTGGGATGATCCCCAGGTCAGTCTGACCACTCTGCCATGGCCAGACCACTGCAGCCTGGCCTTGGCCCTGGCAATGCTGAACTGGGCATCCTTACCTGACTCACTGCCACAGGGTCATTTCCGTGCTCTGTGAGCCTGGACATCAGCTGGAGTGTGTCTGGGCCAGGCCGCCCCTCGCGGTCACTAAGCGGTTTCCTCCCGCCACCTGCAGCCTGTTTGTCCTGGGGAACAATCATCCCCCAGGGCTGTTAGAGACCCCCCTGCCTCCCGGTCACAAGCCCTGACCCCCGGTGGGCCGGCCTGGGCAAGCACCATCTCAGGTCTATTTCAGGGACCCCTGCAAGGCCCTGCTCTTGGCTGTTGCCCCCACTCACACACACACAGACCAGGAGCTGGGGACCCTCCGCCAAGCCCCGGGTCCTTTCCCCCTTCAGAGCAGCAGCAAGAGTAAAGCACCCTCCTCCTGTGAGTCACTCTCACTTCCCTGAGTGCATTTTCTCCAGGCCTTTCTCCTCCCTCACCGCATGGCCTTGACTGACAGGTCAGTCACGCCCAGTTCCCCCCAGACCTCCAGAGCCCCGCCCAGGAGAGCAGTGGGCTGAGTCACACTGGAGAGGAAGGGCAGGAGGGCAGCAGAAGCCAGAGCTCCCACAGGCGGGCTCCCTGCCAGGGGCCAGGTGGGGTGCTGGGGATGGTGTCCACTAAGTATTGACCAGCTGGGTCAGAGGTGCCTGTGGGGAGCCAGCGCCCTGACACCAGCCAGGTACACAGGGCAGAGACAGACAGACATCGGGGGCGTCAGCCAGGGAGGCTGCAGGAGACATTGAGACTGGTCTGGGTGTGTGCCCGTGCAAGGGTGTGGGAGTTTCTGTGTGCGCACATGCGTGTGCGTGTGTAGAGGCGGCGGAGAGAGCTGGACCTGGTCTCCCCTCCTCAGGACACCGTGTATCAGCTATGGCTTCACTTCACCTCTTGGCCCCGTGCCAGGCCCCACATCCAGCTGCAGTGACCTGGGCTCAGGCCTGCAGCATGTGTGTGGGAGGGACACAGGGCATCTGTCCACCGGGTGGCTCCACCCGGACACCAGGGACAGCTGCTGGGGAAGGGCCACCCTGTGCTGGCTGAGACCCGCCCCCGCCCCCCTCCCGCCTCCAGCTCCACTTCTTGGGCCTTCGCAACCAGAGGGCAGCAGCTTCCTGAAGGAAGCCATCAGGTACCTGCTGTGCACGCTGAGCAGGGAGGACCTGCGGCTCCTGCTGACGGAAGCTCAGGCCTGGGCGGCGTTTGTGGCTGAGGCCCACTTGTCCAGGTAAGCCCCGGGGGTGCCCCGAAAGTCGCCCATGCCCCTCCTTGAGCTGGTTCCTCCCGCGGGCGCACCTCCCCCCGCAGGACCCTGTGCTGGGCTGAGGCCGCCCCTTGTCCACTGTCCCCGAGGACTGTGCAGCCCATCAGTGCTGGGGTGGATGCCGGGGCTGAGGCGAATGGGGCCTGCAGCACCCCAAGAGGAGGAGTCCCCTAGGCAATGAGCAGGATTGTTCCTAAGACTGGGGGTACAGGGCAGCAGGAGCCGGGCATGGGAAGTGAAGGTCCAGCACCGGCCAGGGCAGGCCCAGAGCCCAGGCTGCCGTGCACTGAGCAGAGCGTGTTTCCACCCCGACCCCCTCATATAAAGGTGTTTTCGGGGGGGACAGAGACTCGATTCCTGCTGACCAGCAGAGTCCAAGCCCTCAGGGGTCAGACCTGACACCACGTGACCTACTAAATCTACACGTGCCACAGTATTGGACTGTCCAGGGGCAAAGGCCGAGCGAAGCGCGGGGCTTCGTGGGTCAGGAGTCCGGAGCCTGGAGAGCGCTGAGCCACGCTCAGTCTCTGCTCCATCCTGCCTCTCCCTGCCCCTCCCAGCCCTGCTGTGGGGACGGTGCCCCAGGGGGCGTCCTTGTCACATGCTGACCACTGAGGAGCATGAAGGTGACGTTTATTTACTAATCACCTAAGTGGTACAGATCCCCACTGTTGCATATAGACTTGATGTTGACAGACAGCCCGTTCACATATGGAACATTCTCTCCTATTCCCTCTTCTTTAATCGCCCACCTGTCCCACCACAGGGAGGAGGCAGAAGCGCTGTGTGCAAGACTGAGTGAGCTGAGAACAAGCAAGGCCCCAGGTGACGACAGGCACCAACAAGAGCAGGAGTGTAGAGCCTTGTTTGCGAGCACGTTTCCTCAGTTGAAGGACCAGCTAGAGCCACTTACAAAGCTCATAGGTCAGCTCCGTGGACTAGCAGGCAGGGCTGACAAGGTGCACAGATACTGTGCCATCACCAATGTGGTGGCCAGATGCACTAGCGGGGTGTCTGGTGCCATGACCATAGCTGGGCTGATTCTTGCATCCTTCACAGCAGGGGTCAGTGTGGCACTAACAGGCACTGGGCTGGGGCTGGGATTCTTATCCGCTGGCATCTTTGTGATCACCAGCGTCGTGGAACACGAAATCATGTCCTCTATAGAAGCTGAAGCCAATAGGCTGGAGTCAGGTGGTTCCAGCATCAAGAAGAAGCTCGAAGAAGACCAGGCACTTCCGCGAAGGTCCTCAGGGGAACCTGATATTGATGTCTTCAGAGGTTGCAGGGTCATTTGCGCCCTCAGGGTGGGGAACAACAGCCTTGGCGTCACAGACAAAGCCATTGGCCGCATCGGCATGCTGGCGCAGATATTTCTTGGAATCAAAAGTAAGGTGATGGGAATAGGAGCCCTGGCCCTGGGTGTTATCTTCACAGTTGGCTTCCTGGTGCTGGACATGTACAACATTAAGCAAGACTCAGAAGAGCTGGTACAAGGGGCAAAGTCAGAGTCTGGTGAGAAGCTGAGGCAGAAGGCCCAGTATCTGCATAAGGTGCTGGAGGAGCTCAAACCCAGGTGTAACAGTTAGCCCGTGGCCTGACTCCCTCCTCCAGGGCCGTGCAGGGAGCAGGGCCCTGTGTGGGGCTCAGAGAGGAGCTACCTGGCTGGAGGGACAGAGGGCGAGGTGAAGGACTCGGGCCAGGAGTTGAGGACCTGGACCAGGAAAACCCAATTCTGGAGTTTGCTCTGGTGGCAGGTGTCAGCCTCTGCCTCTGCCCACCAGCGCCACCCACAGACTGGAGGATGTCATGAGCAGCGTCTGTCTTTCAGCAGTGAGCTGCAATGGTAGAAACCCACCTGCTTTCGCTGATGGAACATGTTAGAGACAGTTGGGTCTCTTCTTAGCTTTGTGAAAAATTACTCTGTGGCTTTCTGTGCATGTGGCTTCTCTCCCAGTAAAGGGCCAGTGCTTGGTGACAGGGAGACCTGGTCTCCCCCATTGGGCTTCACATTATAGCGGCTGAGGAACCTCCGTAATAAATATCTGTCACACATCGTTCAGTGGCCCTCAGTGTGCTTATTCAAGTCATGGGCAGGGGTGTCCCGTAGCTGGGTGACAGGGGCCCCCAGGCCCTGAGGGCAGAAGCCATCTCAGGAGGGTCAGCAGGGCAGGTGGGTCACAGGAGGCAGAGTCAGGGAGCCAAGAGGAGGAGGAGGGGCCACAGAGCGGGGGGGCAGTGGGAGCAACCGGCATTGGGGCTCAAGAAACATGGGACTGGGGAACAAGAGTAAGAGCCCTTGGGGAGCAATCGCTGTGGGCCCCAGAAACACATGAGGACCAGACCCAGGAGAGACCTCTCCAACACGGGAGAGTCCCAGAGCCGGCAGACAGGCCACAGGGTGTGAAGAGTTGCCCCCCACTGATTCCCAGGGAAATGAGGTGGGAACCACGCAGAGAGAGCAGCTCCCTGGAAGGGCCCAGAGA